ATGTTAAATAACAATGATCGTATTTTTCAAACAGGTACATACATACATATGTATGTATGTAGATTATCTATGTTTGCAGGAAATACAATTTTTAGCTATTATCGTAATAACATACTTTATGGGGACTATTAAACTTTGATTATTATCTGGTCTATAATATTATCGGGAAGCGTAGGACCCCATAAGATATCTATCGTTGAACGACACATATTTTGCCCATATACAGACATATAAATATAAATATCCATATGGTTATTAATATATAAGAACTGTTCTAATAGTATATGTAAATAAATACGAACTATCGATAAACAGCAATTGATGGCCTATAAATGGACTATACGAGACGTTTTACCTATATAAATGTTAACTAAAATCGTATACAACTAAATTAGGATGCAGGGAACAAGGATTTCTTAATGCGTTGCCAACTGCGCACATTTCTATTTCTGATCCAGCCCAGTTTATTGATTGACCCCGGCCCTAAAGCGGACTATGGAAAACGAAGCGTAATTTCTATAATGCGCACACACAAAACAAGGGCAACTACATGGCAAAAGAATTAAAATGAGAGAAAAAGGGATGCGAGGGAGCGAACGTGACTGTGCTAGGGGGTGGACGGGCGTCGGGCGTCGGGCGTCGAACGTCGGGCATCGGGCATCAGTCGTCTGGCGGCGACGGCAACCAAGCATGATCCCCTCTGCGGCTGCAGCCGTAATTCAACCCCTGTTCATCAAATGGGGGGTTGCTAAAGCAACGGAAATGAGCTTTTGCGTTTGACAAGGACACGCACCAAGCAAACAACCCTAACGTGGAGCAGCAACAACAGCAGCAGCAACAGCAGCCTCAGCAACCTCAGATCACAAGCAGACTCTGGCGGGTGGTCCTTCGTAGGGCTGTTGCCATTTGTTTAGGGTGCGAGGGTGGCCCTGACCAGTTTTTGCAACGCATTAACCTTTTTTTGGGGTGGAAAGCTACCACATGGAGATCCGCTAACGGGGGTTGTTCAAAAGGGCTCCACACGGCAGCAAAAAAAAGTCGAAGCCGTGCGCCAGCTGCCGTTGATCACAGGCGAAAGAACAAAGGCAGAAGAAGAGGAACAAATATAATAAAAAAAAGTTGCATTTCAACCCCTAAAAAGTGCAAGCAAAAAGTTCCGCCAAATGCGACCCGAGTTTTGCAAAATATCGTTATCGTATTGAAGGAAATATATTTACGATATTTACAAAAACAGAGCTAATGCTCGCTGAAGCAGATCAGTTTGCAGTTAGAAAGTGTAGACTGCATTTCACACAAAGGCAGGGAAAATAGTTTTCGGTATTTATTTTTGCTGCAATTTCTATGCAAAACATTTTTTACGATATACGTTATATGATATCAACATCCTTAATTGGATACCCGGCAGAGTGTTGTGCCTCTGGCTTAGGCTTACGACCTTATGCATGTGTATGTGTGTGTGCCACAGTATCTGTCAGCCGGCCATGGCGCTGTGTCCTGGCGGTACATGGACCTTTGGTGCATTTGGGTTTTTCCTACCCCCAGAGAGGGTAAATAATACAAAGCCAAGCATACAACAGCTGCCGCAACAACAGCCAAGCAGCACAACAGATGCGGTGCTCCCTCCGTTTCGGTGAGTGGCCAAACGAGCAACCCCTAAGGCACGGCCCCGTTTGCATGCTTCTCTGATCAAGTTGATCGATCAGTTCGCTACCCTTGGCGCAGACGCCCATTTTTCAGTCCTAACTCCATTAAATTCAATTGACAAAAGGAAATGAACATGAAATGCGAAAAAAGGAGGGAGCGAGCGAGATAGCACACACGAGCACACACGAAAAACAGATTAATGTTAAGCAAGAAGAAGAGAGCAACGACAGCACCAAAACAGGCTGTGCACAAAAATAAAAAGGAAATTTAGAGAGGGAAATATTGAGAGGGGAGCCGAGCACAACGTATGGCATCTGCTCTCACGTAGAAACGCAGCCATGTTGGCGTTCTTGTTGTTGTTGCTGTAGTTCTTAGGCTTTCGCATTTCGAAATTTACATTTGCATGCATGTGCGTTGCAATAGCTAAGCCAACAGCAATAGCAACAGCAAAAACAACAACAACGGGAACGCCAGCGAACGCGCGAATACAGAACAAACAGAGAAAAGATGACTTCAAGGTTAAGCATAGCCGAGAGTAGAGTTGACGTTCCCCTCCCACGCATGCCGTTGGCGTTTGCTCTCACATGCGGCTCTCTCACTTACTCGCTCGCTCTTAAAGTTTGGATGCTTCCTTTTGCTTGTGCTGCTGCTCTTCCGCTGCTGTTGTCGTTGTTGTTATTGGTATTGGTCTGTGCATGTGTGCATGTAAATGAGTTTGCACAATAATAAAAATAAACTTTTTTCTTACATTTTTCCCTCTCGTGCAATTTCTGTTGCTAAAATTAAACGTTAAGGAATTTTTATGGAACAGCTGTGTGCGCCAAAAGAAGAAGAAGAAGAGGCAAAGAAGCAAGCAATCGAGCACCAAACAGCGACGTAAAAACCCAGCGAAGTTTCAAGAATAAAGCAACAGGCAAAATCTCACATACACACACGAAAAACATAAATATGCGCATGTGTATGTGTGCGTGTATTTTCGTATATGCATGTTACTGTGCATGTGTTTGCATAGCCATCCCACTCCCACGCACGCATTGGGCTAGCAGGTGATTCATTTCGAAGTTCGCATCGGAAATCATTGAAGTATTGAGCCAGCTATAAAATTAGACTAAAGATTGATTTTCAAACTGTCATTTCTATGGCGATCAATCCACTCTAAAGTATTCGCTGCTGCTGCTGCTGCTGTCGACAGGGCGCGGCAATTTTCACTTTGCCTGCTGCTGAATGGGCAAGCGAAAGAGTTTTGCCGAAAAAATAAAAATAAATAAAAGAGAGGCAACAATAACAACAAATCAAGCCAAAGGCAAAACGAGTTTCTGTCGACTGTCTTCGCCTTCAGACCGCAAAACTTGAGCTTAACGATTATTTTCTTTGTCATGGCAAACAATTTTCAACTTTATTGTTGTTAATTTCTTGCAGCGCAGCTTTTTAAGCCGCGCCAAATCTTAAGAAGAAAGAAGAACAAAAAATAAATAAAAATTCAAGCTGCGCGGGCGGCGCGGCCAATGTTGACGTTGGCAGCGGCTGCGACAGAAACAACAGCAGAGCGACGCAGTTGCTAATAATGTGCACAACTTTTAGAAGCTCAGCGCAATTATGGTTAACATTTTGTTGTTGTTGGTTTTTGCTTTTTTTTGTTGTTACTTTGTTTTCTCGCTTTTAAACAAGTAATCATTTATTTTTAAGAAGCATCCAAATCAAGTTTCAGCAATTGTTAATGCAAAAAGGAAAAAATCCGAAAAAAATGTCAGAAAAAGTAGAAAGATTTATACTGTACATATGAATATACACATACATACATACTCACATACACACGCATATTTTGACGTGTATACATGCAACTTACATACATAGGTGTGTGTGTTGGCACATTAGACGCTCCATTAGAAAGTCGCAAGTGTAGAAACAAACAGATTCATATGATAAGTAGTTACATACATACATACATATAAGTACATATGTAGATAATTGTGCATATACAGGAGCGGCTTGTGCCATGGTCGGGTAAAATATGCCGGCAATCGTGTGGTTGATAGGGAAATTTTACTTTACTTCAATTGTCAGCGGTGTAATTTAAGGGAAAATAAAAATCCCATCTTGTTACGTTGTTAACATTAAATGTATCTTGATGCCCTTCATGTGTAAAATCCGTACCTGACAAAAACAAAATGTTGATGGTTCGCTTGACACCTTCTCTACAACGGAATTTTTATTGTTTTACTTAATGTTTATTATTTGATTAGTGGACAAAGATGCATATGACAACATTGTCTTTTCATACAACATTGTCTTAAAATTAATGGGCAAACATATGTATGTACGTACCTTTGTATTAAAATGCATTAAAAACTTATATACATACATATATATGTATGTGTATATAGCCTAACAAGTGTGTACATATTAAATAAGAAAACATTTTAAAAATACATACATACATAGTTGAGAAATATAACCAGGATTTTTTCATATTTTTATACTTCATACATTTACATGTATGTATGTATATATGTATGTACATGTTAATACATTTGCTCATACAGACACATAAATACATACATATGTATGTATGTACATATGTAGATTCATTCGCATGTGTGCTCACTCTCATACACACCAAAATTTTTCTTTACTTTTTCATTTAGCAGCACATCCACATTCCTTTTTTAAGCAAGCAAATGTCGCTACTTCGCACACATACACATGCAAACACACATCCACACACTATGCAAAAGGTATACAAGGCAAAGTCAGCGCCACCAAGCACGAGCGATCTTCGTTTATTTTTTTTAGTGTATGCAACGAAAACAACAAAAATATTGCGCTTCGTGTATGCACAGACATGCTCTGTGCTTTTTCTGTGTTTGGATTTTGCTGTAGCTTTTCTACTCTTATTCTTTTTGGTTTGCCATTGGCTTCGCATTGCAGTAGCAAATTGAACTCTCAGGAAGAACGCGTTTGTCGCTTCGTGCGCTCGTTTTTATGGCACATAACGTAACGTAAATAATTTGCCCACCCCCAAGCACACTTTTTTGCTCGTTTACATAAAAATATAAAACTAAATAATAATAAACAATCCAAGAAAATAAAAATCAAAACTGTAATAAAGTGAGCTTTTGAGAATAGAATGCGCAAAGCAACAAACACTAAAGTCGTTCGATTTGGTTTATGGCCCCAGGCTGCTGTTGAAATATAATTTATTATAATTAAAAATCAGCAACGAGCAAATAACATAAATATACCTCTACATATGCATTTGTTTGTATGTATGTAGATAATTGACAGTGTTTGGTTTTCACTTGTCTTGTGTGTTTGTTTCTCGTGCAATTGCGAGCCTTTGTACTAACGTGTGTGTGCGTGTGTTTGTGTTGGTGTGACGCAGCTGTCATTGCAGCAGGCGGCGGCCTAGGTGACAGTGCAGCTGCAGTCGACGCTCACGCCGACGTCGCACCGCTTGTCAAATGTAACAAAAGAGGCAAATGTAAAACGAAAGGAAAAAGCTTCTACGTGACCGATTTGAAGTTTTCGCTTATTAACTGTGGGGAGGTGGACATAAAGATGCAGAGAGCTTTTCATTGAATGCAGGTGAGCTACTTGTTATGCGAAACGTGATGCTATTTTACGTATGTATGTATGTATATCAGGTATATTTACGCAGCATGTATGTATGTACATACATATATATTGTAAATATACGAGAATATACATATATGTATATATGTATGTATATTCGTTCGTTGTTCGTTTTTCCTTTATCCTTTCAGCAACTGATCGCTAATTATTTTAAAAGTGAAAAAAATATTAATGCCAAAAATAAAATTTGCACCTTAAACTGTCTCCATTTCGTCAATTAGAATCGCTTAGAGCTTTTCTATTAAGCGTGTAGAATTTCACATAAAAGCGTTAATTGCAAATACATAAGGCATAAACGCAACACCGTTGAAAATTGAAGTACATAATTACACACACATACATACATACATACATACAAATGCTTTTAAAAGCTATGACGGGAGCAAGGGTGCACGAAAATGTTCCGATGAAGTCATGCTGGAACCTAAAATAAATCAGCAAATTGTGTGTATGTCTGCGTGCATGAACGATCATTAAAAAAAAAAAAACAAACACACTCACAAAATAATTTGCACTTTTTAAGTACAAAATGCAATACATTTTACATGCTCTATCTCCCCTCTTATCCGTTTCAATCATACAAACTCACACTCACATGTAGAGTCAATATCCATAGAAAAGGAGACATGGAGAGAGCGAAATACAGCTAACGAGAGAGTGTGTGAGTAAGAGAGACAGCTCAGCAACGGCAGTTTTTGTTCTTGTGAACATTATGGCTTCGCCTTGGCAAAAACTCATACACAAAATCTCGCCCCCTACATGAGCGAGCAACGCTGCTAGCCAACAACAACACGACAAAAACGAACGACCACAACGAATGATATTTTTTAACTCCACTACATAGACAGAGTTGCCAGCTAGCTCACATATACATTCGCATATATATAAACAACCATTTCTATGAATGTATGTTGTATAATTATTGGCTTATTTATATCAATAGGCACTAGCTGTTAAAGCTGCTTCAATTAAGCAACCAAGCCTGCTTTTTATCAGGCACAACAAGAAAAGAAAAACATTAACAACTTTTCTGATTTGCATGCGCCGCTGAATTTTTCGTATTAGTGTTGGCAACTCTGCTCGCGCGCCAAGCATACAAAGCACATATTAACACGCACACACACACACACACACATACATGAGAGTCAAAGTTACCTAGTAGGATGGAACTCTATGGGTGTAATTCTCATCAGTAAATTTCATTGTAAAATAAAATATATATAGAGATGAATAATTAATTATACACAAGCTGTTTTCAAGAAATCGAAAACTTGAAAGGCATATGACAAATTTAAGAGCATGACAATTTGCAAGCAATGTGGGGTATGACAAAATAAGGCGATGAGCAGTACTCTTTTCATGCAGTCAGCCGCAGCTGGGTAATTTTGTCGAAGTCACACTCATTCGCTCGCTCACTCACTCGCTCGCTCTCGTTCGGAACTTCGTTGGCTGCGCGGTGGCTAGACCAGAAAAGTTTTCGTGCACGCTCGTCAGTCGTCAGTTTTTCTTCAGTGGCTCCGCGCGTTTCGCATTTTGTTGTGCGGGCTGCTACTCCGCAGCAGCAGAAAAACTACACATACATACATACACACAACTGAAAAACTTGGCTTTTTAATAAAAATAAATTCAATTTTATTGCTTTTTCTCCCGCGCGCTTTTACACATATACAAATCGTGCGTATCTCTTTATATATGTGTGTGTATTAACATAATTTGATGTGCAAAGCTCTTGAAAGAAGAAAAAAAATCTAATCAAAACGACACGACGACTATGTGCTGCCTGTGATTCTATTTCGGTGTGTATACCTTAAAAACAAGCAACTAAAAATGCATTAGATCTATATGTATATATTTTTAAATAGACTTAGAACTGTACTTTCTAATTTGTGCGATTGATTTACTGTTTCTCTGTCTCTTTTTCTCTTCTGCTGTATGTGTGTGTTTTTGCATATAAAATCAATATTTCCAACGGTTTTTGCAAAGCGTGTATCCGTGTGTGAGTGTTGGTGAGCGTCTCACTTTCATATCGATTTTTCATGCGTTTTTGTGAAAGCTTTTGCTGCATTGTAAAGCTTTTCTAAAGCAGCATTTTTGCAACTGCACACATGCATGTAGAAGCATGTGCATGTGTTTGTGTGTGTGCAATTTGAAGTAATGACGAACAATTTTCATTAATTTAATGAACACACATAAACGCACACGCATGCAAATGAGGTCAAGTGTCGTTGGGAAAAATTGTACGTTCTCTCTCTCCATTTGTATGCAGTCAGTCAGCCAGCCTGACGTTGGTGTGAAAGAGTGAGTATGACAACGAGCATTCGTTACATAAGCTTTTTTCTAATTGGCGAATATATGCGCAGTAGCAGCAGCAGCGGCAGCATAAACTTCTAAAGCGCGCATTTCAATGCACAAGCAAACAACGTGTCGCTGGGGAAAAAAAAAAAAAACATATTTTACATGTAATTGTAAAAAAGCACGTTGTCGAAAAAATAAGTACAATCTAGAAAAAATGTGTCGCTGTTTTGAGCTCTATGTGTAGCCGCCATCTTGGTTTTCCCCCCTATGGGCAACCCAGTCGAAACAGCCGTGGCAGCAGCACCATCACACAATAATAACAACAACAGTACAAAATATTTTTCAATGCTACTGGCGGGCTGGCTGGCTGGTAACGCTCTCTTTTTTACTCCCTCTCACTTTGGCTCTTCGGCTGCTGACTTCGTTTGCTTTTCGTTTTATGTTTGTACAAGACGACAAAAAAAAAAAAAAAGCGTGAAATTTTCTCTCTGCACTTTTCACACACAAACACAGTCACAGCCACGTTCACACTCATATAGCAACAGTGCTCACAGGCGCTTTGGCGCTTCGTGCGCTCTCTTTGTAGCCGACGGACGCACTCGACCGCCCGCCACATATTTTTCTGTTTCCACTTTGTGCTACACTTCTACTTCGCTGCCTGCTGTTGCTGCTCCCGTCGCTGTTGCTGGTGTATGTACATACATACTTATGTATGTATGTACGTGCTCTACAGACACGTTTACATTTTCATTTTTCATATTTTCGGCCTGTTTTTGACTCTCACGTACATACATACATACATACACATACTTTGCTTTGTCGCTTTTATAATCTTTCACTTTATGTGCACACACGCCATGTTTAATACGTATAGCTGTATATGCTTGCGCTGCGACGTTGCCAAATTTCACGCGCGCACTGAACTTTTTGTCGTGCAGCTTAAAAGTTTCATTTGTTTACATTCTACGCACATGTGCAGAATAACAAAAGTACAATAATAACAAAAATAATGAGAGCCAGCCATCAGCAGCAGCAGCAGCAGCACGCACAAAAAGCTGAAAAGCAGAATAAGACGGGGGGAAGCAACAAAAATAACAAAAGCTTTTGCGCAACAAGTGCACAAATGAAAGAATAAGAGATGAAGAATACCCGAAGCGAAACAAAATTAAAAATATGCTCAAGTATCTTTGTTTAGTACTTGTGATTTGTTTATTATTTATTCTATTATTATTGTTTATATTATTTTATTATTATTTTTAGATCATTCATGCTTTTGTTGTGTGCGTGTATTTGCTTACATTCTTTGTCTGTCTTCGGAAATTTTGTACCACCCACGTCTTGAGCGTAAACGACCAAACGACCTTGCATTTTGATTATTGTTTTTATTTCTTTTGGGTGTTCTTCAGTTTCTACACTGACCTACACGTTTAATATTGTCGCGTGCCATACATTCTTTGCCCTACACGGTTTTTTTTTTCTTTATATAATAATTATTATTTTCTGTTGTAGTAGACAGAAATATAAAAACGTGCAAAATGCGAGGGAAAATAATATGCGAGACTTTTGTAGGCCGTTATCGTTGACTGCTTTTTGGTTTTATTTGGCTATTTTTTTCTCTCGCTAGTTTCTTGTCTCTATTGTTATTATTATTATTTTTTGCCAGTGCCAATGGCCAAAAAGTTCATTGAACTTTTGTTTTATTATTTACTTTTTGGCTTGTTGATTATTTGGTGTCTTCATTTAGTCTGTTCGCAATTTCACTTTCACGCGGCCTACTGACTTGTTGTCAAACATAATTGAGGAAAAACAAAGCAAAACAAAATAATTGGAGAGGTTATTAAAGACTTAAACGTGTTCAAGACTTTAAAATGTTTCAAGTTTAGCGTATAACTGAAGAGATTGTCAATATATCTAAAGCAAAAATAACCTCAAAAAGATTTTAGAACTCGTATGTTGAAGATCTATCTATCTGCTACTCCTCTGTTTAATGCCTTCATTAATTATAAACTTATTTGTTTTTTAAGTTTAAGCAAAGAGCTATGCAAATATTAATATGTAAATACATAACGCCCCAAACATCACCTGTCATAAATAGAGAACTGAAGAGAGAGAGAGAAAAAAACGTTCGACACACCTATTTAAAAAAAAAAAAGACGGCGTGACCACATTTTCAAATTACAGCCTGCCCAAAAACCGCCGACAGATGTAGATGAAGTGATCGAAGAGACAAGAAACATATAGAGCTAGAGAGAGGGAGAGAGAGAGGGCGTAGTGGGAACAGCGGGCAGAGAGTGGGCACAGTCAGCAGACATCATCATCATTCGCATCAACGAGTCGAGTCAATGCCGCAGGCCAAATTCAGCAACAGACGAGCGGACGGACGGTCGAACAGACGGACTCTGATAGATAAAAGCCATTGCTTATTATTCTCTTGTCTGCCCTCGCCTCGCTGCTGTTGCTGTTCTCTTGCCCTGCCCCTCCTCTGTCCAGTTTTTAGCTCCATAAACCGTTTGCTCATTGCCATTTAGACGCTTAAATTTTCAACTGATTCCGAGAGCGACAGAGTACGCCCTTTACTCCACAAACTCGTATGTATACGTGTGTGTGTGTGAGTATGTGTGCTCAAAGCCACAGAACACAAGCCCTTAACATTCACT